GTTCCTCTGGATTTTTGGAATCCCTGATCTTCGTGGTTGTCTTCATCTTTTTTCTGATTGTCTTCTTTAGTGCTCCTCTTACTATCTTTTCTTATGTATCGTTCATTGAAGGTGTAGCAATTTCCAATGGTGTGCTTTCCATTAGGGTGTAATGGGCAATGCATGCTTTCAATGTCGTCATACCTTCTGGGCTTGGAAAACTTCCTTGATTTGTCAGTTACCGCTACGGTGTTGTCTGGTCCACGTTTTCTCTCTTGGTGTCTGTTGTTTTGATGATTTTGCTTATCTGGGTTGTCTCGATTGCTTCTTTCCGGGAACCTTTCTCGTGTCTTCTCCTCCGCAGTAATCATTTTTTCTACTGTGCGTCTGAATTCTTCATTGTTTCTCGGGTTCTCTTTGCAAAAATCCTAAAACTGGCACCTAGCCATGATTCCGTGAGAGATAGCTTCGATTACTTCTCGTTCGGTGATGTCATGTACTTGGGCACGTAGTTCGCTAAATCATCGATAGTAATCTCTAAGACTTTCGCCTCCTTTCTGCCTGAGTCCCTTTAGTTCTTCGTGGGTGATTGGGTGCGTAATGATACCCGTGAAATTTTCACAGAAAGCTCTTTGCAAGTCCTCCCAATTTTCGATTGACCCTGGACTCAATTTGTCGAACCTTTGGAGGGGCATGGTTTCTAGGGCCATAGGAAAGAACAAGGTCTTGATGTCGTCGTCTCCACCAGCCAGTTCAATTGATTGTGAGTAGATTCTGAGCCACTGCCTTGGTTCGGTCTTGCCATCATATTTAGAGTGGTTGGACGGTTTGAACTTGTGCGGTAGTCGTATTGAAGCAAGTCTGCTTATAAAATAGGGGAATCTATCGTGCGTCCTGGCTTCTCTGTATTCTAATTCAGCACCTCCTTCCAGCCAGCTGTCGTTTTGGCGAGAGTAGTTCTGCGGGGCTGTCCGAATGGGTGCTTCGCTTTTGATCTGTCTTGGTTGTTCGCCTCGGTGGTTTTGACTGTGGTCCCTCCTGCTTTCTCTGTTGTGACTTCCACTTGGTCCAAGTCTCTCGAATGCGGACTTCCTTTGATTTTGATCTTTCTTCCTATGAGATGTTGACCTGACGGGTAGTCTTGAACGGGTTCTTCCATCGTGTGTCTTTAGGGCTGCTGTCCGGAGAAGTTCCCGGAGCTGTTCCTACTGTTCACTGGGATGTGAGGTCGTCCCGAGTTCTTCAAGTGCTTCTCGGATCCTGTTGTAGGGTGTGTTCGTCACATGTCTTTCTTTGACTTCTTGTTCTGATTTTCTCCTGTTGTATTCGACCAGATCTGACTCATATTTGATCTAAGCTTCCTTGCGCTGCCTAGCACATCACTGGCGTCCTTGTTTTAACTTGTTTCTTCTTTCTCTGGCTTGCCTTTGATTCTCGGTCTCACCATCATAGCCTTGTGCAAAGGGTGATATGTTGAACTCGGATTCATCTGATGACCTAATGTCGGGTGCTTCTGGGGGATCAATGGTGATCGAGGACGGCGAACCATGAGTACTTCCGTGTGTGAACTGTTCTGTTATTGGCGTTGATTTCTATACTGTCGGGGTTGCTGATAACTTTAGTAGAGGCTTCAAGGTCACATATCGAGTCTCCTTCTTGGTAGGGTAGAATTGTTGTTGTCGTCGTGCCGACCAGTCGGGTACTGCTATCCTCAGGAATAGAGCCTGGCCAGTGGACGATGCAGTTTTGAGATGTTATAGTTAGTACGAGACCTTCCTGAGCTCCTTTTAGTGGCATTCTAAGCACTGGGTCGAGGGATCCTTCGAGCTGTGCTTGGTAAGACTTTGCCATGTTGTGGAGTCCAAACGGGAAAAGATCTGACTTCTTGAAGGGATTCTGAGTGCACTCTGAGTTGTATTCTTGATATGCCGAGGCCGCGTTCTGCAGCCCCATTAGAAAAGAACTCGGATCTTTGAAAAAACTTGGGTCAGACTCCATCTCGGGTGCGGAGCCTGAATTCGAGTCGGATGTGTAAAGTCGCGAAACCTGAGTTGAATCGGACATCACGAGCTGCGCGAATCTTCCAGTGACTTGATCTGTCGTAGTCGCCGAAACAAAAACGTCTTCATGGTGATCCGAATCTTCGAGGAGACGGCTTTGAAGCTTGCCATCGTCGCCAGCCTCGCAGATCCACGAGCCGAAGATGAAGGCTGATCCCGTCGAGAAGATCATTTTGTCGAGGTCCATCGAGCTCTCGGATGCAAATTCGCCGAAAGCCCCTACCTGGTGCGCCAGCTGTCGATATTTTATCACCGATAGCCTGCCACGGGGTTACCCGGGACAGTATGTTCGGGCTTCAGCGTATGCGGAACTCGACGGTGAACGCAAGAGACAGTCGATTTATCCTGGTTCAGGTCCTCAACTGTGGTCGAGTAATAGCTCTACGTCCAGTCGGCGTTAGCCTTTGCGTTGTATTGATTGTGTTTTGTTGTGTTGAATCGTATCAGTCGTATCGTCCTTCCTAGGAACCCCGCCCTCCTTTATATAGTCAGGAGATCAGGGTCCTAGTCGGTTTACAATGAGAGTTTCTAGTAGGATTACAGAATAATACTACAACTAGGATTACATGGGAAGAATCCTAGTTGGACTAGATCTTCTCCCTTCCTGACGGGGTATCCTGTGGATCCCGCATCGATAGGCCGATATAATAACAACTACTTTTTGTAAAAGAGGAATGTTGCTTATGAACAATGTTGGATCATTATATGCTACTAGGTATAGGCTTTAAAGGGGCAGCTGCGGACCCTTTTTAGGAGCAGTTGGGTGCATCCGTCCCTACTTATCCGTCTCTATAAATCAACGATTTCTATAGAAATTGTTTGCAGGGGCGGCTGAGCTGCCCCTATAAATCGTTTTTTCAGAAATCACAAATTTGGGCCTAAAATAACAATAAAAACAGCAAAAAATTTTATCCAAGGACATCTTAACCGGGTAGCCCCACACGTGTGCAGCCACAGGTGCTCGAACTCACGACCTCCGTCTTCATGTGTTCCTCCTCTAGACAATCCACTCATAAGACAATTGTGTCTATTTGGGATATTCGTCCGTCTCACTTTATCTTGAACCAATTTTAAACTAAGTATTTGGGACCTTAAATTGATTCAAATGAAAAATCCATCAACTACAAAGTTGTATAACTTTTTGAGATCTGTAACTTTTATTTTGGTCATTTATCCATCTGAGGTCATTTGAAAAATTCAAATTTCAAATCTAAGAACTTCAAACGTAATTTTCTATAGATGGATGATTTAAAAAAAGTTATCAACTATCAAGTTGCATAACTTTTAGAGATCTATAACTTTCATTTTGGTCATTTCTCTATTTGAGGTCGTTTGCAAAATTTGAATTTCAAATGTGAAAACTTCAAACGTAATTTCGATGGATAAATGATTTCAAATAAAAAAATTGTCAACTACAAAGTTGCATAACTTTTCGAGGTTTACAACTTTCATTCTAGTCGTTTCTCCATCCGAGATTGTTTGCAAAATTTGAGTTTCAAATGTGAAAACTTCAAACGTAATTTTTCATGGATAGATGATTTCAAATATAAAAGTTGTCAACTACAGAGTTGTATAACTTTTCGAGATCTAAAACTTTTGTTTTGGTCATTTCTCCATATAAAATAGTTTAAAAATTTTAATTTTGAATATGTAATTCTGTTGTTCGGCACTCATTTATAGGGGTGGTTAGATCTAGAGTCGCCCCTATAACTATGGTCATTTGTATGTATTTGTAGAGGCGGCTCATTTTAGGAACCATTTTAGAGATAGTTTTAGATTGAGCTACACCTAAAAAAAAGAGGTATTACTACAAATATTTTTTTAGTAGTGATAGTTGTTTGTAAGAATATGAGGCCTATATTTTGGGGGCAGGCATACATAGCCAAGTGTGGTGGGGCAAGGCTAGGCAGTGCCTAGAGTTGGCTAGGGCTTCGTACCTTCAAGGGCGACGACAACAGAGGTCGAGAAACAGTGGGGAAGTCAGGAACTCCATGGATTCGTGCAAAAATAGAGAAAACCGTGGTAGAAGAAAAAAAAAAACTGGAGGCAGGGGAAGATGCGCGCCCTACCCATCAGCACAGAAAGTTACTAGTTGGGGAGAGTTTTAGCACCTTGTTATTTTTTAAGGAGTTGTTTTACCAATTTGCTAGAGAGGTGTTTTTTTTTCCTTTTTTCAAAAACTCAAATGAAGAGTCCATTTACAGAGCTCATGAAATTACTCTGTGAGCAGCTCCAACCGTTTGGTAAATGCACTCAGTCTTTTTTTTCTTTGAATGATAGAAAAAAAATCCCACCCCAACAACTCCTCATCCCAACTTTCAATCAATCTGCACAGGAAAAAAAAACAGAGACATCCACTTGGCGTTGTTTCTTTTTTTTTTTTCTTTCTTGGCACTCCTCGTTGCTCCTGCATGCCTCCGTCTAAAGGTTCACCGGAATTAGAATCTTTGGACACTATTTTTAGATCTGAGAGTACTGGGAGATAGAGTAGATAATGAAAATTGATTTTAGATGTTTGAGTGTCACTTATGATGCCAAGATGGCCCACCAGGGCCTAGGTTTATTGAAATTGAATCTCTGACCATTATTTTCAAATATGAGAATACGTAGAGTAGACAGTGAAGATTTCATTTTAAAGGTTTTGTGTGAACTAGGAAGCCGCGATGGCCAGCCATAGCGGCAAGTTATTCCGTCCATGTTTATATGACTTTGGGGTTTTTTTGGGGGGAACAAATAAAAGAGACGGTTGGTAGAGTATATGTTATTTTTTTTAACCAACAGCTTTTACATCAGTTACGAAACTAGGCTTAGATAACTCTCGCGTGAACCATATAGTTCCGATTTTCCTGAGACGAGTCCGAGAAGCCCTATTAGCATGCATCTAATCTAATAAAATAGTATACATCATAACTAACCACTCTTCGCGCCACGTCCCCGGAACGCGGGCGCACTACGTGATCCATGCCACCTGCAGTAGTGCCAGTTGAAGACGGCAGCGCTGGCGAGGCCGCCGGCGTGGAGGTGACATATTACAGCTGCCATGTCGCGTGGTTTGCGTGGTGGAACCACGTCCGGTGCGTCCTCGCGTCCACGTTCCTCCCGTGGCCCCCGGCGCCGACCACAAAATCGGCCATCGTTCGTGGCACGCTCTTCGTGCCCTCCGCCGGTGACCGCCGCGTCCGCCTCTTCCTGCAGGAGCACGGGCCCGCCGCCACGGACCAACCAGTGGACCACGACGAGCATTTCCTCGTCCTCGACCTGCCGGCTGGCCTCGGCGGTGCGGACATCGCCGCGGCGGGCAGGATCGTGCTCGAGTACCAGCGCCAGTGGGCGCCCAATGCCTCTCCCCGCTGCGCGCTCCTCGACTCGCCCAAGTGGCTGGTGTACTGCAAGGGCACGCGCGTCGGGTACGCGACGAGGCGGGAGCGGCCGTCGGATGCGGAGGGGTGGTTGCTGGAGAAGCTGCGGGCCGTGACCGCCGGCGCTGGCCGCCTGCCCGGCGGAGGGGTGGAATACCTGCGCGGGAGGTTCGAGAGGATCGTCGCCTCGCCGGACGCGGAGTCGTTCCACCTCACTGAATGGCCGGGAGTCCACGGCGGCGGCTTCGACGGCGGTCTTAGACTAGCCACAATGTTGCAAAATGCCGGTGCCCAAACGCTCTCTCTCCTCTCCAAGCATCGATGCCTAACATTGTGGCCGATGCGAGTGAGAAAACTGGGGCACGGGTCAAGTAGGTTCACCGATGCCTCAAACATAAAAAAAAAAAATCACGATGCGAATGAGAAGGAAGGGGAAAGGGGGTGTGGCTGGGGTCCACGCATGTTCTAAGCGGGAGTTCGAGCACGTACGCATACCTGGTAGGATAAAAAATTTTAAGTCTGTGTGCTAGTCTTAGTATCTTCTTCCATCGGGTTTGTTAGACGTGCAAGACTTTCTTGTTAGTGTCAGCTGGTGTTGCGCACTTGCGTGTATATAATGCCCAAGTCCAAACAAATACTAGAAGCAATAATACTAGTTTAGGGTATTATCGATCGTCTTAGTATAATCTAAATCCATTTCTTTGAGTCTTGGTTTGTCTACATTTTGATGATGAACTCACTGGGAAATGACCACACAGAAGAAACACCTGTGTGCTTTTTGGAATATAGAGTTCTTTCTGAACATATTCTCGTTCAAGTAAATTTTCTGCCGGATGCTGCTCAGTAGCATAAGCAATTATAGGGTATTTGGTTTGAGTACTCGCAAAAAAAGGTATTTGGTTTGAGGAATTAGTTAGTGTATTATCACTCCCCTTTCTTTTTGTTTTGTTGGATAAAATTTGTTGACCCATGTGGCCTCAATTTCTCACAAGCTAATATAGTATTATTATAAGGAATAGAGTCATTCCACTAAATTCGTGGAGTGTTTGGTTTAGAAAATCAATCCATTATATCGTGATTTCATTCTTCAAATTTGTGTGGAATGATTTTATTTTTTTATACTAGTATTAATTATAAGCCTACGACGAATAAAGTGACGATGCATTAACTCATTTTATTTCACAAATAAAAAAATTAAGGAGTGAGATGATGATAAACCCAAGAGACTCTTTATATCTTCCCTAGTTTACAGGAATAACATTTTTTTATGAAAAAAATATTCTCTAAGAGTCTCTTCAATTGGATATCTAAATATAGACACCCTCTATTTCTGATTTCTCGCTAGCCAAAGATGAAGAACGAGAATGGCTCTCTAGCTAGACTATATAAGATATAGAAAAGCTATCGGAGAGTATAAAGACATAGAAAATGATTTTTACTCAAATAAATCTCTAAATAATGATTTAGAGAATAGATTTGAGAAATGCTCTTGGAGATGCTCTTATTCTACAAACTAAACACCCTATCAAAGAATGGACTCAAATACACCACTTTATCTAAAATGGAGTCATTTCTTAAACAATCACCCTATTTTGTAGTGGCCGACGTGACACGTGACCCATGTCCCCGTTTACCTATCTACTTAAAAATACTACTTTTTTATATATTAATCTAGATCCAAGTAAAATGGTTTGCGCTTGATTTTAGGTATCTACTTAAAAAATTCGCAAGAAGGGTCATCCAAAGTTTCTTAGCAACGACATGATCAAAATGAAGTTCCAATTCAAATTTAAAATCATTGAGCTTGTTTAGAATTATTTTAAATAATTTTGAATTTAAATTTTCTCTTGAGCATGTCCTTCGTTAGAAAAAAACTTTGGATTTCACCTAAGTATATGTATAGAAAAATTACATGAAAAATACTACTTTCCAAACCTTGAATTTAGATGATTTTTTTTCCAGATTTTTAGAGACTTTTTTTGCAGCTACTCCCTTTGATCCAATTTATAAGACATAGTCTGATATGGCACAATCTCCAAATATTTGGTTATTTATAATTATATAATTAGAATATTATACTATTTTATAAGCATATCTAAATTAACTAGTACATTTAATTACAAATCTAATTGTTTTAAGTTTATATTAGAATAATTAAAAATTATTGGATAAATTATTACTCAAATATAGTGGTATAGGAATAATTTTAATTTTAAAAGTATAAAATCAATGATGCTAGATCCAAGAAAAATAGGTTACGCTCGATTTGTAACATCTACATAAAAAATTGCAACAAGGGGCATCCAAAGTTTCTTAATAAGGGAGATGCTTTATTCTCAAAAAATAAGGGATCTTATTTTAAATTCAATTTTGAATTAAAACTTAATTTTGAGTATGTCCTTTGTTAAAAAATGGATTTCACCTAAGCACATATATAAAAAAAATACATGAAAAATACCAGTTTTTGAACCATTAATTTAGAAGATTTTTTACATTTTTAGAAACTATTTTATAGCTAAACAATTAAAGTGTAAAGTCAAATATAGTATTATGGGAAGAATTTTAATTTCAAAATTATAAAATCAATTATGTTGGATCCAAATAAAATGGACTATGCTTTATCTTTACCATCTGCTTAAAAACTTACAATGTTTTTAGAGATCCCTAAATACCTTGTTTGGAATGGACAAACAAAATCTGGAAAATCTAAAGGGCGAGAGAAGGGAAATATGCCTTGCTATTGGCTTCTAAGGGTGTCTCAAGTAGGAGCCTCAAATTAGGGTCTCTAATTTTGATTTAAGGGTTCTTCTTACTTTTGAGAGTCATGTTTTCTGGCTCTCAAAATATGGTCCTCAAATTTATTCTAATAGGGAATAATAGTGGGGCCCATCTGTCATCCTCCTTCTTATATTATTCCTCATTGACTAATTAACTTGGCCATATCTCGACAACTAGTAGCAGGAGAAGCTAGCGAGGGAGAGAATAGGGGCTTGCCGGAGCACGAGAAGATGTAGCGCTAGATCCGAGAGAGCACGAGCCATGCCCGTGTAGAGGGAGAGCGGAGCCGCTCACTGACGCTAGATCTGGACAAGGGGCGCGCCATCGAGGGAAGGGAAACACTGAGGAGGGCGGTGGCGGCCACGCCAGGGAGGGGTGTCGCTGGGGAGAGAACTCATCATGAAGGTAGCCGGATAGGGAAGTGCTAGTGAGGGATTTAGGGAAGGGAACGCCGACAGGAGAGGGGAGCTGCCGAGGAGGGCGATGGAGGTGCTGTAAGTTGTTGGGAGGGGGCGTGCTGAGGGAGTCGTGCTGGCGAAGGGCCATGCCAGAGACAGAGGAGGCAATGGCGCGTGGTCGAATGCAAACAGACAGTCATGTTTCTGTGTGCGCACGGGGAGAGGAACAAGGGGTGGGAGGGGGATTTGACGGCCCTCTCAAATTTGAGGTCCCTAGTAGGGCCCTGTTGAAGCTCAATTTTTGGTTTGGGCTCTCAAATTCAATTTTGACGGTTCAAATAGGGACCATGCTAGAATTGTTATAACGCATGACACAATCTACACTATTGATAAATGTCTATTGATCTTTGGTTCGCCGATTAGGATCATGCTGGCCATACAATTGCCTGACATATCCTATATCTGCAATATTTTCATTCCAACTCTTAGTCGTGCAATTCTTTAGTAAAGTAGTGCTATTTCAAAAAAAAAATACTATATGTTTACAAGCATCACCAAAGGAACTGTATATTTTTCCGGAGATTTGATTTTGGCTCTAATTTGGAGTCTTGGTAGTGCTAGAACTTTCATTGTTTCCTTAGATGTTAGGTCAATAATCTTTCATAGCAAATCTCCTTGGTCGTAGTGTCCAATTTTTTTCTAGTAGAAGTTTAAGTATGCAGCGAATCAAGACAGCCAAAACGCATCCACAGCACAGTCACAAAGGATGAAGCATCACATCACAGCTCACAGGCGCTGATACGCCAAACGAAAGCAGTTCTGAACAGAAAGAACACCACCGGATCACACCACAACACAAAGCAAAGCATCCATGACCGAACCAGAGAAGACTGCACCTACGTAGTACTCCGCTGCCGTCGCCGGCAGTGGGGGCTCCGACCTGATGACCTCATCGGTCGGTCGCCGCTGAGGTAGCTATCTAGCTAGCTAGTAGGGGCTCTGGCCCTGCACGTTGCCGTGCGGGTTGTACAGGCAGAGCGTGAGCGTGGCGCCCGTGGCGCAGCTGGCCTGCGCGCACCCGACCTCGGCGGTGCGGCGCCACACCACCTGCGTGTACGTGCCGCACTGCCGCCCCGCGGCGCACGTGTTGTTGGCGTGGGTGTAGTACCGCCCCTCCGCCACCCACAACGCCACCACCTCGGCGGGGCTCGCGCGGTAGCTGGCCCACCCCTGGTTCGCGCCGTAGGGGCTGGCCCCCATGTCCGCGAACGCGCACCCGCCCTGCCGCTGCTGCTGGGCCACCGTCTTCGCGGCCGCCGAGGCCAGGTCCGCGCTCCACCGCAGCGGGGCCACGCCCACCGCCGCGCGCGCCTGGTTGTGCGGCGCCAGGTACTCGTCCGCCGCCGTCGCGTTGCTGCTGCTGCTGCTGGTGCCGCCCTGCTGCTGCGCCTTGGTGACCCCGCCCGCGCCCGCGCCGCCCGGCGTGAGGACGCGCGCGCCGTGCGCCGGCGCCGGCGCGGCGCAGAGCGCGAGGAGGGTGACGAGGAGGAAGCACGCCGTGGCCATGGCCCTGGGGAGGAGGAGGTGGTGGTGGTGACAGCTCGAGTGCGCCATTGAGATCTGGAGTTGGTGAGCTGAGTAATGGCTCAGTGAGTGAGCGTTGAGTGCGAGTGTGCGCACGGGATTGTTCGATGTGTTGTCGATAGCGAGTTAAGAAGAGAGCTCGGCCCGGCACAGGCAGATGGCGACGGCTGCCCGCGTGCAGCGCGGGCGATAGCGTATTTGTACTTGGTGCCGGCTGCCACGGCGTCGGCGCGTCTCGGCCGTCTCGTGATGCCACGGCGCGTCCCGTTCGTTCCGATCGATCGATCTCGCAAGTGGCACTGGCACGCGGGACCTGGCGAGATCCAGCGGGTTGTTGGTGTGCATGTCAGTGCCGATCTCCATGGCTCGTTGCCTCGTGGATGCGATTTTCCTGTCCCTGAAAAGATCCGGATCAGGTGGAAGCCTGAGACGCCGCGGCCGCCGAAGCGTGAGGCATAGCGATGGGAATGGACCGACCTTGGATCTGGCTCAGTGGCTCCAAGGCTAGTTTTAGGGGATGCGGGTTAACCATTGTTATCTAAACGCTATGGTCTCAGTCAGAGGCGGAACTGTCTACCTCCATAGACACCTTGGTTAGCATTGGTAACTTCACCGAGTTGAACCAATGGTGAGACGACAGAGTACAAACAAAAGCATTGATTACCAAAGTCATCACAACCAAAGTTGTGAACCTTAAACAGATGACACTATCAGATAACTTGCGACAAGCACACACAAAAATGAGGCTAAATTTATACAGATACAAATATAAATAGATACCAATCCACGGCATCTAACACACTACCACAGAACATAGGTTACGCATTAAGAAAGGGAAATAAACAGCAGCATCAACAATAACCAAAATCTAGAAATAAGTTTAGCACCTGAATACCAGAGCCAACAATAGCCAGAATCTGGAAATAAGTTTACCACCTCAATCTCTGAGACATCCCTCAGACCACAGCTAATCAGTACACACTGCAGTGAGTTAAACTGAGTTCGACATGACAAATTACAACTATGAGATAAACTCTAGAAGAGATACATGACAAATTATTAGCCATGGTACAATGTTTTTCTCTCACAACAAGTCAGCGAACAATATTCTTCAGCCTGTCTTTTCAGCGAAACGAATAGAACCCCCTAGCAGGGGCCAAGCCCCCCCGGATCTGGAATTAGTTTATATGTTCCTGCTTCAGCCATAGTAATAGTAGGTATTTCAAAGGGAATGAGTTCTTGAAGGTATTTCATCTATGCATTTCCTTCATCTTGGCCCCCTTAGATTTTTCTCTGGTTCCGCCTCTGGTCTCATTGATTTAATGGGTAATATAGATCAATAAAAATTTTTGACTCGCGATATGTGCTCATATGAGTTATTATAACAACACGCGTGCAGTGATGGTACAGAGTCCGATGCGAAAATACATCTAGCGGTAAAATGGAGATTACTGCCCATATATGACCTAGACTCACGACACATGATCATACGATTGTGCATTTTATGTGTAAAAACAAATGATTATCTTTGCGCATGCATTTGACGTACAAAAAGTATGCGTTGAGTTTGCTGAACTTTATTTTGTATACTTCTGTTGATCTACCTCCTATTGTATGTATCATTGTATAAGAGAGCTTTCGTTCTTAGGTCTTCTTCGAAACGTAGGAATTTTTCTATTTCGCGAACTAATTTCCTATGATTTTCTTTATAATTCTTATGAAATCTCGGTAGTATAAATGGGCCTAGTTCATGTGGATAAGTTTTGGGCCTGCCTTGAGTCAACCAAATAGTTTCTGCTGTTCTGCGGCTTCCATGTTCCTTTACCAAACATAATCATACATACTTTATTCATCCTTGTGCAAAAAAAAAGACGGCTGGCTACATCGTGGGCTCGCTGGTGGGATCCTTTGCCACTGCGTACTTTTGCGATACATTTGTTTCGGACAAGAAGGCATTAGCAAGTTTTCCTCTAATCAGGTTCATTCTTTTGTAAACAGGTAGCGATCCTAAGACTGTTTCTAACAAAACCGCAAACCATGGACACAAGTTCCAGGCCGCCTCGAACAGCTGGACCAGCGGTGTCCACTAAATAGGCGAGAGAAGCTGGTCCAGGGTCTTGTTTGCACCATGGAATTGAGTCTTTATTCCCCCCTTTATTTATAGGCCTTAAAATAATAACATGAACTAAAGCATGATAATTGATATTTTTTTCTTGAGTAAATTGCACGGCCGGTCCTTAAAGTATTGGGCTGATTTCGTCTGGGTCCCAAACTATTAAATCGCACAGTTGGCTCCCCAATCTACTTAATTCGGTCCATATAGGTCCTAAACAGCCCAGGCGGTGTCAAGCAGTCGACGTGGCTGTCCACGTACGCACGTGAGGCACACGTGACCGTCGACAGGTACTGACTTTTTAGCCAAAAACCCCCCGCACGATCTCATCCTCTCCACCTCACTCCTTTCCTTTCTCTCGGACGGACCTCGACGAAAGGGGGAACAGGGTAGGGGCTGAGCGTGGCGACGCCGGCGACTGGTGCTGTTCGCGGAGGCGGCGTGGGCGGAGAGTGAGGACGACTCGACGGTCGTCAAATCGAGCTCGGTGGCGGCGACCAGGAGGCGACGCGGGCGGTGGGGGAGATGGCCGCCGAATCGAGCTCGGTGGCGGCGACTAGGAGGCTCGGTGATGAGCCGCGACTGATTACGTGCCCGAGGTGCCATCGTCATAAGGTAGTAAAGTGTCGTTCGAAGCAGCCGTGGTCCTTGGATCAGATCTTCTACACCTACCCAGATCACAATGTAAGTTAGGTTTGCCAGTTTGAGTTCAGTCCAAATCCGAGTATTAGAGTCAAGTTTTTAGTATGTGTGCTTTGCCTGTTTGATGAATCTACAGAAGGATGGAACTGGTTGCCCATTTTTTTCTTTGGGAGGCAGGATACATCAACCACTTGGAGACAGAAGCAGCAAAAGAAAAGGCAGCTGGGATGCAATCTGATGAAGTTACTGAGAGCCTGTTGGAGAAGAATGTCGACCTGGGAAATGGAGATGCCACAACTGTTGAAGTAGAGCATGCCACAACTGTTGAAGTAGAGCTTAGAACTTTGATCAATATAGGATATGATATTGCAGGGCTCTTGAAATGCATTCTCTGTATGTGCTTAATAATTGTAGTTGTGCAACTGTTGTTGGTGTTTGTTCAGATGAAGTAGTGAATGATGAATGTGAAGTAGGTTTGGGGAGTAGGAATGCTTTTGTTTTTGTGTGAACTTGTAACATTTTCATGTAAGAACTGGTAATGCTTTATGGTATTGATCATGTATGTTATCTGACTGAAATTTGTGGTATTTGTGACTGTAATTTTAGAAGAACACATTTCACTTATGCAAACTGCATTGTGATGCTTGTAAGACCTTTGGCCAACTCTGTATTTTTCATACTATCTTGTTCACTGTTCTTGGTTTCATGTTGGACTTGAATTAGATGATGATATGTTCACATTGTTGTTGTCTAGTGGTATCAGCAGCTCTTTTCTCAGTGATCCTTTTTCCTGAGATCCTATAGCTTGAGGGCCCTTTCCAGTTATAGTTGTAGTAGTTTGCTGCATTTTTGACTGATGTCTTAAGACAGCATGATCACTACTGGTCACTATCGTAGCTGCATGTGTGGATTCAGATGGCACACATGGAGCAAAGTGAACATTTCTACTAGATGGCACACACTGGATGTACACACGTATTAGGGGTTGTTGGTTGCAATTGACTTCTCCAAGCTCTATAATTTAGCTACACCAAGCTTTGCAATTCATAGTTTGGGGGCAGAGCTGTGGTGAAGGGCTGTGCACAATTCACAGTTTGGGGCAAAGCTGTTGTCTCTATTGCAAATAAACAGTTATTGCCTTTTAGTGTTTCATTACTGCCTTCTGAATGATTTAGTCATGAAGTGTGTACATCCAGTCATGATTTGGCATGCATACTAGTGTTTATGCATTACAAAAGATGTTGCTATCCACAAAAGTAACTATACTGCTACCCTATTCCATGTTGCTATCAACAAAAGACAACTATATCGCTTTCCTATTCTAGTCACAAAAGTCAGGTTGGCATGTCCACAGTTGCATGCAACATTTTCAGCTGTGGTCTTCTTCCCTTGAACCCCTCTAGTCTTCTTGCCCTTCTTCCCTCCACCTTGTCCAGCTTCTTTGCTCCTGCCTTGAACTCCTCCAGTCTTCTTGCCCTTCTTCCCTCCACCTTGTCCAGTTGTGGTCTTCTTGTTCACTACTGGTCTTGCAGTTGGCTGGTTGGACTGAATGAAGGTAGAGTCTGGCAAGGGTCCCAACTGCTGATTTAGGCTGCTGCATTGAGTGGGCTACAGGCGGCAGATTGAGATTAGTAGAGTAAAATAGATGTTGAAAACAGTAGAGTAAAATTGAAATCACACAAACCTGAGAAAGCATCTGTGAAAGCATTGTTTCCTATGTCATCGCTTCTTGCATTGGGTAATCAAAAGGTGGTGGTGCCTCGGCCTCTATGTCATCCTACAAGAACAGTAATGTTAACAACTGAAGGGATGAGTGTCTAGTGTAACAGAACATAACATAGTACATACACCATGGTCATCAGTAACTATTGGAGGTATTTCTTCAATGCCACTTGGACTGATGCTTGCCTTCTTCAATTCAAATGTCCTCACATTGTGATCTGGTGATTTGCACCAACTGCAGTGCATTTTGGACCCATGCTTTGTTAGCTTAAGTCCATTTCTACCTTGAACCTCATATGCTTGTTTTTTCCTTGCCTTTGGTGGCCTCCCAATCCTTTTCTCATAAACTGGTGGAGCAACTGGAGGTCCATCAGTCTTCTCCCAGTCAGCCATGTCCTTACATGGCCAAATGTTGTTGGCATATGCAGTTGCAAAAGCTTCAATAGAGTAACAGGCAAGGATCATTGTCTCTGGAGGTATCCTCTCATGACTCAAGTATGAAATGGCATGGGAACATGGAATACCTATGAGATCCCACCTCCTACACTCACAT